TTTAAACATTATGTGATTTGTGAACCTTGGCTATTTGATTTTCATAAATCAAAAAGAATAACAGAACAGATATAATATTTATATTTATTCAAAATTTGAAAATGCTCTATACATTGTTCATCCCTGAAATGTGGCATCACCTTCTCAAAATTACATCGCTTTTAGGAACTTAAAGAAGCTCTAATTCTTCCTTGTCCTCATCGTTAGATAATAAATGGTCCGACTAGTAGTAGTAGGTATACTTAGATGAAAAAAAAAATCACTAAAATTGTGCATATAAATAAATATATTAGATTAAATAGAGGTAAGTAACTTACATAATACTGTACTGCAAATTCAGTAAACTATAAACTCCGTCGGAAAAAACTAGCGTATAGTTTATCGTTTCATCGTAATAACAAATAAAAAACCCAAATTTCCATAACGCAAACACAAATAAACACCAGTCAGCTGACAAGTCTGACAAAATTGCGCATGAGCAGCCGAACCGAACTTTTAGTCCTAACAAAAATCCTGGGACTGCTAGAACCGATTCCGAATCAATTAAAACCAATTCTATGTGATCCGCGAACGTAGAACTGTTACTAAAAATTCAGAATTTTATTATCCGCGAACGAAATTTTTTACACTGCGCATGCGAATAGTCCCTGAACCGATTCGGAATCGGACCCGCGAACAAAGCTAATAGTATTTCACATTATTAGCTAGGTGAAACAGTTTTTAATGGCGTTTGAAAGAAGTTCATATGCTTCCCGAACTCAGCGACATCTTCAAGAGAAGCTCTGAACACACGTTTGGTTTGAGTCTCTGTTGAAAATGACAGCAATCACCTTTTTGTTTGGCAGATTATGATTAATTTTGGAACAAAAACTCATAAATTAACGGAAATTCTGTTCTTTTCATTTAGGTATTCCAGCATTTTATGATCCGAAATTTTGGAAATTTATTATTGGTGTGTTTCTCTATATGTTTATCCCTTTTTCATTTAAATCCGTGACCAAAATTTGCATACTGTTGTCAACAAAATTGGTGATAATTTTACTATTTATTAGACTGCGAATTTTGCAACCAAAAATGCTTCAACTTATACTCCAAACTATTATTGTTATGAACATATCTTCATTTCACTGAAAAGCGGTCTAAATTTGGAATTGAACAGAAATTTCTGAAGGTCTGTAAATGACATTTTATTTAAACGCCCCTCTTAAGGCTTTTAAGGCAGCTTGGCAGTCCGATAGTATGAAGATGTGTTTTCATCATCATCACGTTGTAACACGCATGGTCCGCGCACCATTCGGTTGGCCCGCTCCCGTTAATAAGATGCGTATGCGCAATATTGGCATAAGCTTGTAATTTTGATGTGCACGCAGACAAATAAATACAATAAATTCAAAAATATCATGTCATAAATGAATAATCAATCGCCTTCTGTTGTACAACAGTACAACATTGAATCCGGCCACAGCTATGTATTCTGCTCTACCATCCCTCAGATAAAAGGACTCAAATATTGAGCGATAAAAGAAATTAAGTTTTTTTAATGAATCTTTGATATTCCAATAAATTTTTTTTGGAGGCTTGAAATACGTCTTTGGGCGTGGCACCCGAAAATAGTTCCTGCCTTTGGTGGCACCTGTGGTGCGCTACAACTACTGGATCCCACGAGCTGGGCTTCAACTACTGGATCACTTTAGGTGTGAACCCCTTCCAGTATAGACCACGAGCTGCTACTGCTACATATAAATAAGTTGTGATATTCAACACCTCATTTGTGACTATATACATAAAAAATTATATTTAACAGGGGGCGGTAATTCACATCTTTGCCCCCCCTCGAAAAATTCGTAGATCCGGCCCTGTACCTACCTCAAATATATCTGCAAGTTGGGCTTCAATTGTTCCCTGGAGAGCCTCTGGTTTATTTTTTTTTTAAATAACCATGACATTAAAATTTTTAATATTTCCTTTTTTTTTTCTTCTGAGATTATTTTCGGCATCTTCAATACGAAAGAAATTTGAAAATGCCGAACAATGCCGAATTTTAAAAAATGTCATTAGATTTTGCAGGTACGCAAAATAGTTAGGTACCGTTTATAATATAGCATTGAAAAATGTGTCAAATTTGATTTGCCAGATAGGCCAGAAAATTTCAATTCCGCGGCACCTACGAAATTTTGTAAACATTTAAAACTGTCTGGAATTAGACATATATTGTCATTATTATACGAGGGTCAACCTGCCAAATTTCCATGGATAATGTTACGCCAATAATAAGTGAAAAGCATATAACTATGTAAGTAATACTAAATTAGTTTATTTAAAGCCAATACGACTCTGTGACAGGAAAGAAAAAACCTAAATTATCGTTAATCAGGCCTTGTTTCGTATCCCAAAATAGCCGCTAGTGACATTTCGACGATGAATTCTTTTATTACACGGGCTGTTACTCAAGTTAGCCTGCTGATTGTTTTTGTATATGCTGTGGTAGAGTTCTCCCCCATATTTTTGATTTCATATAGCCCGTCTATTAAATTTTGCTTTTGGAAAGCTGCTTAATTTTTTATTTATTTTTTTCAAATTGGATACTGAACAAGATTCTCCTTTGAATAATTAATTGATCAAGTTCGCCATCCTGTCAACAAATTTTTAACAAATAACAAGTTCGACATTTGGTTATTAAATTATTGTTTTTAGAATTCCAAAACTTGTATTTTTATTGAATGGGTTAAATGTCAGATAGCTATTGGATTGATTTTACCTTCTCAGATTTTTGCATTTATCTTTTTAAACAATAACTATGTAATTATTCGAATAGTGTCTAGTTTGGCTATTCTTTTATAATCAAAATAATTTATACAAACTAGTGGCGCCCTCCCTCTACTGTACCATCACCAAGGACCACCTCAAGCTAAAAAACCACTGAGTATAGTTGAGCACAATTATGAGCATTCTTTTGTTTCGACAAAAGAGCATTACAACTAGCATTAGGATTAGGTTTGATACTATCACAACTGCCCGCTTTACGGAGGTGACATGGGGGGTTTGTAGCTTTGGGGGTTGATGGAGAGAAACTCGTTATATAAAGATATAGATATATATTTTCCTAAATATGCTCTTACCAGTGTTGTGAAATGACGGTCATTAAAATCGTGACGGTCATTTGCGTCATGACATGTCATGACGGTCATGACCATGGTCATATTTCATAGTGATTATTTCAATTCAAAACGCCACTACCCACAGTCTATGGTCTATAAACTCACAAATGGGTTTAAAATAAGGATATTCAATTATTATTGATTAAATTTTGACAAATAATCAAGGATTTCAGAACAGAAGAAATTTCAACAAATTACAACATATGTGAATAAAAGCTATTCTAACCTAGCAGGTAAAATAAAATAACAAAAATAATAGTTATTCACTTAAATGCAGTAAGTGATACTTTACCGCATGCAACGGCAGTCGTTGAGTGCGGTAGAGGAACTTTCCGCATGTGTTAGGTACAAAATTATACCTATGAGCATCTATATCTCCAAAAGAAGGTTTTATTGAAATTTATGGAAGAGAAGGGACTTTTGAGTGTACCTGAACACCGAATCTACTTTACCGCATACTATGCACTCTACTTTACTGCACATTTCCATACTATGGAGTAAAACGGTCACGTTGAATATGACGTGACGGTCATGACCCGCCGTCATGCGCGCTGGTCATGACCCACTAACATTACTGGCCCTTACATCTACGCTAATCCTATAAGATGCATGACCCTTCGAACACTGGGGTCCTTATAGGGGGCCACACGTCAACGCTGCTTGGGGGACTGTAGATTAGTTTATCGTCACCCTTATGCCTTGTCCAGAGGGGCGTTCCCAACGAGAGCTAATTGCACTGGACAACGATAAGGCTGAAGATACCCAGAGGGGCTTTCCCAACGAGAGGTACTTGCACTGGGGAGACTTAATTCCAGAGGGGCTTTTCCAACTAGAGGTACTTGCACTGGTTTAAGTCTGCCTTTGCTGCGGCTTGCAGCGCAATTTATATCCGTTTATTGTTGAATTGCAATAAACATCCGACCGAATCGGCAATTAAATTAATAAGGTTGAATACCGGGTTTTTTTTTTCCTAAGCAGCTAGTTGACATTGTTGACAATACTAATAATCTAAAAATGAGGACGCTTAAAAGTTTTGCGGTCATGGTATACACATTATTTTTTCTACAACTGTCAAAAAATGATGATATTCGCACACTTTTTTTCCCCAGGTATTGATTTTTTCACGTTCTCATGACGCCGTGCGCGAACTAGCTATTTCGCACCCTAGTGCGCGAAATAGCTAGCTCGCACACTCAGGTAATAAATACCTGACACCTGTCAGGAAACCAAAAATAATTAAAATTCCTTTGATTGAAAATGCAATTTTGCCTTCGAATGATCGATATTTAAATGCAGTTGTAGACAAAATATTATTTGCAACTCGGGCGCGAAATACTTTCCCAATAACTATGAATTACGGAAATCCTATATTGTTTCAAACGGAAACCAAAAAATCATATGAAAAATTGGATTATTTAAGAAAACATATTTCAACTGTCATTGGTGTATTATGTGGAGCTAGAAACTTTATTTCAATCAAATATTTAAAAATGATTTATTTTGCTTTGTTTCATTCGAAACTGCCATATTTGATTTCAATATGGAGATCTCGCATTTGAAACCATTATAAATTATGCAAAACAAAATTATCAAATGTATACATGTATTTAGAACCATCTGTTAACTTATATAAACCTTATGGATATTTAAATCTTAATGTATATTTCATGTATATTTCTTGAATCAAGGAAAAAGATCAATATTACATGATGGTATATTGAAGTACAATTTGTATATTATATTCCCTATAATAAACTTTGTAGTTGGTTGGAAAATAAATAAATAAATAAATACGAAAAGCCCCATCACCCCATGATTTGACTAAATTTTTTTAATTTTCAGCATCTTCAATGACAACAAGGGCGCCGTCTTTATACAAAACCTAAATGAAAAAAACGTCTTCAACAGCAATGACATATACGCACTACTGCAACAAGGCACACTAAGACGTCAGACCGCCTCAACTCTCATGAACAATCACAGCTCCCGTTCGCACACAGTTTTCACCATAACCGTACACATCAAAGAAGCTGATTTAAGCGGCGAAGAAGTTTTGAAAACAGGCAAAATAAATCTAGTAGATCTGGCCGGCAGTGAAAATATCGCGAAAAGCGGCGCCAAAGATAAAAGGGCTCTGGAACTGGCCAACATTAATCGGTCGCTGTTGACATTGGGACGCGTGATACAAACTTTGACGGATAAAAACAATAGACACGTTCCCTATAGGGATTCGAAGCTAACCAGGATTTTGCAGGACAGTTTAGGAGGCCACACCAAAACTTGCATTATCGCCACCGTGTCGCCAGCTTACAGCTCCTACGAAGAAACCCAGAGTACTCTGGAATACGCTATGAGGGCTAGAGACATCAAAAACACTCCGATGGTCAACGAAAAAGTAACGCGAGTCCAAATGTTCAAAGAAATGACAACGGAAATTGAAAAACTAAAACGCGATTTAGAAGCCGCTCGACTTGGCGAAGGTTTTTTCTTGCCGCAAGAACGCTGGGACGAAATACAAAATCAGCTTCACGTCAACTCTAATTCGTTAACAATGAAAAACGAAATTATCGACGGCATGAAAAAGCGCCTGGCCGATCTCGAAGTGATACAAGAAATTAAATCGCGCGACTACGAGGAAGCGATGAAAAATTGCAAAAACAAAGAGAAAATCATCCACAAAGCGACGGCGCTTCTCAAAGAACACCGTGAATCTTTGCAACAGGAAAAGTACGTGTCCAAACATTATTTTCAAGCGGTGCAAGAGGAAAACACCCAGGCGAAATGTTTGCTGCAGGCCACCGATACATTGACCAAAAGTCACGACGTGCTGCAGCGCAAACTCGAAGACCAATATTTCAATAGTTACTCCAACGAGCGTTTAATGCAGGAAAAGTGTCGCAGTTTGCAAGAAACCATTGTTAGCGGTCGGGAGCAATTAGACAAGATGTCGTTAACGTCACAGTCTGCCGTGACCAATCAAATGGCAGTTTTGGAAGAAAGTGCGCGGGCGTGTCACCAGGAAGTGGAGCGTTGCGCTGCTTGGAAAAACGAAATCGAGTATGTGGCTAATAATATGAACGGAGTGAGTGAGGTTATAGAGAGAACGGGTTGGAGTGGGATGGATAATGTGAAGGGGACCCAGAGCTGTGTGAATGAAGTGATGGGATTGGTCGATAAAGGATGTAAAAATGTAAGTACCTATTTCTATGTATTTTAATACTGATAGACTTCACTTTTTATGAATCTACGAACTGAAGTCAAATAGTCGAGGTTGATAATTTGAAATAAATAAATAACATTTTAGAACTAACAGCTGATCCAAAAATCTCTGATACAAGGCAAGTTCGGTTATTCTTCCGCGAGCTAGAAGATGACATTGCCTGACAAGCTCATGTGATTTTTCATTTGAAGTTACAAAACTAGGCCCGAATTTCGAACCCACCATTCAATAGTATGGTCTTTCTATATGTCCATACGCTAGGTAACATCCTGTGTTTTTGACAGGTCCACAAATCATTGAATTATTTTTGTGGCATTATGTTGTCTGAGACCTACAGGGTGGCCTGTCTATTTTGTCCTATCTCAGTATATGGGAATCTAGATATTTTATGACAGAGAGACAAAATACAAAAGTTGTGGTTTAAGGCCGCGTTAATGGCCGCCATGTTTAAACTGTGATTGGTTGATTTTTCGAAACTTGTTTTAAGGTCTTTAAAAAAACGGCACATCAGAATTGGCTCAAATTTGGCATAAACGTTATTCGATCGATTATCTACAATTCCTTATTTTGGTTGTTCGATATTCAGCCTTTTTTTTTAATTCAAAAATCATGTTCGCAACCAAACCGAAAAGCATATTTTATTGATAACCACGAAAAACTAAAAAAAGCTAATTGTAGAGATTGTAGATAATATATCAAATAATGTTTATGCCAAAGGATTTTGGAAATTATTACGAATTTTTTGAGATGACCTTAAAACGAATTTTAAAGGTGGAAACAATTCAAGCAATTTCAAGTAGATGGCGCCACGGCAAAAAAGCTACATTGGGAGCATCATAATTGTATATTTGTCTTTCTCTGTCACTAAGTGTTTCACCGACAAACAGATTTTGTTTTGCACAAATAATAAAATATTGAACCCTATGTGTAGAGTGACCAGAGATATGTGAGGAAAATAGAATGCGCTTAGACGACTGCGCATCCGATTTATTGGTAACGCATAGGGGGCCGCCATTTTTATCACTTTTCACAGTTTTTACTTATCTCGTTTTCGATTGGTAGATTTAGTGCAATTTTTTTTTTTTTTTTTCTGTCTTTTTCTTCTACAGGTTGATGAAAAAGGATGAAAACACACTCAATGCGCATTAAATTTACCAATCGAAAACGCTATTAGTTTTTACGTTGACAACTTCAATCTGACAAATTTTTCACAACATAACCTTACTTTTGGTCGGTTACAAATTGTTGTTGTTGGCGATTTTTCCTGCTTTTTCTGAGATATTTTTATCAGAGTGTTTTAAAAGATTTCTTATTGTTATTTCTGCTTATTTTTGGAGTTATGAGTTGTTCATAACTCATTTTTCCAAATCCGAATTTGACAAGTGATAAAAATGGCGGTCCTTCAAATTCGACCAGTTCCGCAGGATGGACCCTAAAGCCCGGGACACATCTATCATGCATTCTTCCGATCCGACTCCGATCATACAATCAGGGTCCATATTATTGGAACAGAAAGCAGTGTTCCCAGGTGTTCTCCTGGGAACGCTGCTCCTCTGTTCCAAGAATAAGGACCTTGATTGTATGATCGGAGTCGGATCGGAAGAATGCATGATAGATGTGTCCCGGTGTAATATATCGGGACTTGGGGCAAGTTCAATAATTCAAGACTAGTTTCGTTTCGTATCAAAAATCATTCTATTCTAATAATTTCCCAAATTTAGTACAAGTTTACAATAATAAATATATTAGTATAACAATAATTATCCTATCATCATAACATGTCTGACGCAGGACATTATTAACCTAGTTAGATATTATACATTATTATATACCGTATGTTACTAATTTACTTTACTTAACTCTAAATATTATTTCTTAACTCATTATAATACATCCACATCTATAGTCCAACAAATACCATTTTAAAGTCACGTGATTTTTCTCTATCCTTGTTGAATACATCTCAAACAGCGGTGATAGCAAAACTGACAAAAAAATTGGTGTCTAATTATTGTTCATAATATTCTTACCTGAAATAGAATCCGTCACTGTCATCAATTAGTTTGTCAAAGTTATTTTCGAAAATAATACAACGAACAAACACAGCTAATAATTTTGACTATATTAACCTTTTTCCAACTCGAAAAGAAGCAAATAGAAAACGGGTACCCAGTTTAAGTTCAGAATGTATTACAACAGACAGCAGATGCGACAAAAGTGAGTCTCGGAACAATTGCAAGTATTAAAATTGCCCTCTGATTGGTCAATACTACTTCAGAAACGCGTTTGTAAAATGCTAGTGGGAACATATATTAAAATTCAATAGTAATTAACCTTATTAACCACCAGTAGCTTTTTGTAGGTGATATCAACGACATAATCAATGGACATACGTTTTTTACCACCAGTATCACGTGACTTTAAAATGGTATTTGTCGGACTATACCATGTATAATGTATTGACGAAATTGTTTGAACAAATTTTGAGTGGTAGATCCAGTTATAAAACACAAGTTCCTCAATCGATTTACCAAACTCTTCTACAGATTTCCCGCGTTGTTTAGCTGAATTAAGCTTCACAGACAGGACTGCCGAAGATTTTTTTGAAATGAAATTTGACTATCCTGAATTAAAATATCGTTACTAGCATATGCCGACTTTCACCTCAACTTTGCCCCCTCAGACAGACGTGTTTTCAGCACGTATGTAGTTAATAACCTCTTCCCTGCCTGATCCAAGAGTGCATCATACCATTCAATAGAGTCGATTAACTGTTTAGTGATAAGTTCGGAACCGTTCATCACGAGCAATAGGCTTGACGCCGTTTTTAAATCAAACTTTTCACCCATTTTTTCTGACTTAGGTACCTTTACCTGCTCACTCGGAAAAAAAAAATCACTCTCAGACCCGGAGGAATCGGTTTGATTGGCTCCTGACTCATCAACTTCTTCTAAAGCTAATAAACGAGAATCTAACGTATTCTGGATTAATTTCAAAACCTTCTCTATTTCTTTTACATACTCCTTAACTAATGAGATTATTTTAGGGTCATGCTGGCCCAAATTAAAATTTTGCCTATAAGTCCCTAGCTCTGACCTAATCTTATCTAACTTCTTTACCTTATTATTAATATACTTTTTTTACTACTAACCTGAGAAATTGTCATTATTCAATCTATTTTTCTAGGAAAAAATTGAATTTCTCTCCCTAGGTGAATAATGAAAATAATGAAAAAATACCTAGGTTAATAATGAAAATGACGTCATGACGCAAGGATATTGTCATGTTTCTATTGGTTCAATTTCATTTCCATACGTCAATTTGAAAAAAAATACAGGTTTCTGTAGGTACATAGGAAGTTATCATAACCTGTTGATAGAGGGCAGCACTTTCAAGAGGGCGTTCAAAAAAAATAATTGGAGCACAGATTTTAAACAAATTTTTCATTTTCTACTAGCAGTAGTAAAAAAAATTCTATATATTCCACGGTAGAGAAAGTCATTATATACCTCACTCATTATAAACCTCGGCGCGAGCGCCTCGGTTTATAAAAGCGCTCGGTATATAAGGACCAACTTCTCTACCTAGGTATATAATATACTATTTTTTACTACTAACCTGAGAAGTAGTCATTATTCAATCTATTTTTCTCGGAAAAAATTGAATTTCTCTCCCTAGGTTAATAATGAAAATAATGAAAAAAAACCTAGGTCAATAATGAAAATGACGTCATGACGCAAGGATATTGTCATAACGTTACAGGTTTCTATTGATTTAATTTCAATTTCAAACTGTCAATTTAATCAAAAAAACAGGTTCCTGTATGTATCATAGGAAATTACCATAGATGTTGATAGAGGGCAGCACTTTCAACTAGAAAAAATAATTTGAGCTCAGATTTCAAACTTATTTTTTATTTTCTACTATAGCAGTAGTAAAAAAAATTCTATATATTCCACGGTAGAGAAAGTCATTATATACCTTACGCATTATAAACCTGCGCTTTATAAAAGCGTTCGGTATATAATGACCAACTTCTCTACCTAGGTATATAATGTACTATTATTCTATCGCGAATGGTAAACTATCATTTAATCGACTCAAAACTCGTTGTTAAAGTAACACTTTATTTGAAGTAGTGAAATCGAACAATTTTTACCAACTCATTTGTCAATTTTACCCACTCATACGTCAATTTTACCCACTTATACGTCAATTTTACCCATTCGTTCTCTTCTTTTATAATAGACCGATCTCCTATTACCTGGACTGCGCGCGTCGCTTGTAGGCTGCAGGTGACCGTCCAATGAGAAGCAAGTTTGTGACAGGCTTGCGTCATATTCTTATTCAGGGGCCAGTTCAGAATCAATCGTTCCTTTTTTTTTTGTAACGTGTAATTTGACAAAGAGCAAACTGATACTTTACATATAACTTGAACTCACCGCAGTTTCGTTTAAGGTTATGTTAGATTGTACTTGACATATTCCTTTGAAATTTCTTCGAGCCATGTTGCCGGATGAAAAATTTATCAAAATAAAAGTGCAAACGATGTTCATCCACTTTAAAGCTCTTCTTTTGTCTGATTTAAGGCGTTGTAAAACACTTGACACTATATCACTTCTTTAATGTTATAATGTTCGATTTGTATTGTCTATATTTTGTTCTGCAACAATACAATCTGGCTTCACTGCAGCCTACGAGTTGCGCGCGCATGTCATCTTCTATTGCTTTCTAACTTGTATTTATTACAATTAAACTCTCTTTTTCTAATCATGCGAAACAGGTCTATTATAGTGTTTTTGACAGAAATCTGATATGCTGCATGATTGACAACACCAGAAATGTGTCAGTTTGTTAGGTACTTTGTCAATTTGTCATTATTTAGCACATTTTAGTTTATGATTTTAGTAATTGTGATAAATAGAAAGTGGCTCAAGAATAAAATAGAATATTACACACAACGGTAATAG